GGTGCTGTGTGTACATTAATGAGGAAAAAAAATTAACTTAAATGATTTTAGCAAATGGCTGCAATATAACAAAGAGTGAAAAATTTAAGGGGGTCTGAATACTTTCCGTACCCACTGTATATATATATGTAGTATATATGTATATATAATCAATTCAATAGGCCTGTTGGCACATAAAACGTTTTATTCAAGATAGACATTTATAAAACACAACTGCTGCGATTTTCATGTTCATTTATGATGATTTTAGAGTTATGATGGTAGTATGCACAGTACTTTGTTTTACTCTATGGTTACTGGTAATTGTTGAGAGATAGTAAATACCTTTGTTTGCTTTATTAAATTAGGCTGTTGACACATAAAACATTTTATTCAAGATGGTCGTTTATAAAATGCACCTGCTGAGATGTTCATCTTCATTTGTAATGATTTTAGAGTTTTAGAGTGATGTACTTTGTTTTACTCCAATGGTAATGTTTTTTTGAGAGGTATAATTTCTAAATTAATATATCATTTTTTGTATTTATTTATTTAGTATTTATTCAGTAGGACTGTTGACATTATGTTTTTTTCAGTATGGACATTTATAAAACTGCTGAGATTTTGATCTTCGTTTATGATCATTTCACAGTTGCAGTGATGTCAGTATGTACTTTGTTTTACTCTGTGGTTATGGTATTTTTCATGGTATTTTTTATTTTATTTATCTTTTGAGAGAGAGAGAAGAGTAGTCCTTTAATTTGTCATGTTTGAAGGTTTGCAGTAATAAATGGCTTTGTTTTCTTCATTCAAATGGGCTTATGACGCATAAACGTCTAGAAAACAATTGCTTTCATCTTCATTTTTGATGAGTTTAGAGTCATAACGACTGTACTGTGTTTTTTACTCTATTGTTACCATTATGTATTTTTGTGAGCAATTAGTGTTTAAAGATTTACACTAATTATGATGCTTTATAAATATTTTACAGTTATGTTGGTAGTATGTACTTAGTTTTACTCTATGGTATTTTAGTTTTTTAAAAGAAGGTTTACATTTTACTACTTTGTTTACTCTATAGTCAGTTATAGTCAGTTCTTTTAAGAGAGAGACCTTTTAAGGTTTACAGTAGTAAATAACTTTGTTGTCTTTACTCAAACAGGATTTTGATGCATAAAATGTCTAGATGACATTCATGATAATTCATGATGATTTTAGAGTAATAATGACTGTAGTATGTTTTTTGTTTTACTCCATGGTTACTATGGTACATTTTCATGAGGTATGGCAATGACTTTAGTAGTTAGCGTAGTGAATAGCACCGTTGTCTTTTTCAAAAGGCCTCAAGTCACATACATTAAAACGCATTTTGGCCGTTTCGGAGACTGAGCTCAGGTCGGTAGCTCTGTCAGACCAGAAGCGCAGGAGAACATGAGCAGGACTCTGTAATTGGGCTCATTTGATTATGACTGGATGAGGTCACAAGACTTTAACAATATTTGCTGTGTGTGTGTGTGAGTGTGTGTGTGTGTGTGTGTGTGTGAGTGTGTGTGCGTTTGCGGCGGTCCCGGCCCGGCCCAGTGCAGCTAAAGACAGAATGCATTCAAGCATGTTCCTCTATATAATTAACAGCCTGTAGATGAGTGTTTGTGAAACTTTGAGAAGGTCTTTATTCTGCTAATACCAGATTTCACATGAAAGAGAGGCCTGCTTGTCGCCGAGTTCCCTCGCGCGTCTTTGTTCTCTTAACAGTTGCAACATCAGTAAAACAAAAAAACAAGTCAAACATCTTCATTCTCTCAGACCAGAGCAACTAGTCGACGCTTGGTTGTTCATCAAAGCGTTTTGACTGTAATAACCTGAGCTTGTGATGTTTGAGGTGTTTGTGAGCTTCACGACAGATGTCCGCTCAACACGCGCAAATTCATGCGACCGCCGCTGATTTTTTCCATTTGCGTTCTGTTTGTTTTGGCTTGTCCTTGCAGGTTTAAAGGACTTTTTATAAGCTTATTTTTAGATTTAATTGAAGAATAATTCATTAATGCGCTAATGATCCAATCTCTGTCTCTTTAAACAGGTAAAACGGAGCGAGCATCGTATTCTTACGGACGGGACTCCAGCATTCACGGCTGTCAGGTAAGAAGAGACTCTCTCCGATGAGAATTACTGTAAGAAATGCTCTTTAACAGCTCAAGACTCAATCGTGTCTCAGATGTTGTGTCTCATCATCCGGTAAGAGTCTAGAGCTGTAAAATGAATGTGGAGCATTGGATGAGAAGTGTTTGAGCTCATATTGCCATCTCTGACTTTGTCTCTGATCTCTTCTGAAACTCTAGTTTTTAATCACTATATATGTGATTAAAAGCCATAGAAAAAAAAAAAAGCCTCCATGGAAATTTGCATTTTTCTAGATATGCTCATTTTCTACGGCTAGAAATGACTCTTTAAAATTATTATTTTTTAAATCTTTATTCAGTCATCACAAATGATCCAAAAATGCAATATATATGTAATATATAATTTCTGGAAAAATCATGTAATTCCATTGGAAAGTGTGGGAATCCTGATCTGCAGGAGACTTTGACGAAAGTCTCAATTTGATCTCATTTAATCTCAGTGTTGTTAAGCAGAAAATCTTGAGATCATGTGTGATTTTATTTTTTTATTTTCCTAAGGAAAACAGTTAGTAATGTCATTGTTGGGTTATTTGCGGCGCTGATACTGTAGTTGTTCTTTTTCTTCATGTGAAATACATTGTAAATGTGCTGTTTGAAGTGAATGGCAGCTGCTGGAGTTTCTGTAGTGGAATAAATAAATGAACAGGCGGTTTGTTTGCATTGCAGCCGGTACCGTTAGCAGATGGCCTGTGTTTAAGCACATATATGAATTCCTGCAGATCACCGTGTGTGTGTGTGTGTGTGTGTGTGTGTACGATCTCTCACCAGCCCATCGTGTTTATATTAAGAGACATATGGATGTTCAAAAGGCAGATACAACATCAAGAATAGACCTGTTTCCATTCAGCTGCTCCATCCTGCATTCATTTAGTTCACTTTTTGGAGTCTACTATTTTGTTTAAGTGTTTGTCATCTTCACCCAACAAAATTAGTTATGTATGTATGCAATGCACTTAAGTATTTAGCTATTTATTATCATCTATTAAAAAACATATTTTTTTTATTTGTTAAAATCTCAAATAAATTTAATAGTAATTTTTAATATATAATGTA